ACATACCCAATGGTAACTTCAAGCATAAACCACAGTAGAGGGAGTGACTTGCTATTACTCATGGCCTCAATTTCCTCATCTATAAAACAGGGAAAATAATTATACTACCTTATACCTCACCAGGTTGTGAGGAAAGCACTGTGTAAATGACAACAAGCTACATATATATGTGTGTGTGTGTGTGTGTGTGTGTGTGTGTGTGTGTGTGTGTATGTATATGTGTGTACATATATATATATATATATATATATATATATATATATATATATATATATATATAATATATATATATATATATATATATATATATATATATGGGTTGTTATTATTTGTGGTTGCTAGATAGTCAAGGGAAAGAACTAGCAGGACTTCTTTACACTCAAGTTACTTACATAAGGCAATGTATTAGTAAATCTGTACGTTTTTTCAAATACTTAGCTATAAATTAACTGTACTGGTTCCCCATAAACAAACTGTCATGGTTGAATTGGCAATTATGTCATCACATTCAACATCTTGTGTTGGCTGAGAAACAATACAATGGTTTCCATCTTTGTTCTTCTCTAATCTCTTTGCCTGACTTCTTCAGTACTTCCAGCTCCCTGACTGCTCTATGTCATCAACAAGGAGTTTTTAAAGGTTTTGTACCTAATTTTCTTCTATTCTTTTCTCTTAATTCCCAAGTGCCAATGAAATTAGGAATTCTAGTTTTCAGGTACCACCTAGATGCTTATGATACTCAAGCTTCCCTTTCTACTCTTCGAGTTATCTCCCTCAATCTGTTCTTAAATTCCAGCAGCACAATGCTGCTATTTCAACAGTAAGCACTGTACTGAAATATATATTGCATAAAAGGATTAACCTCATTTCACTTGGCCCCCAAGGTAAGAACTGGAACTTAACAAGCAAGAGTTACAAAAAGTAAGATTTTATATAATGAAAAACTTAACAATTAAAGCTGTTTAAACATGAAATGAGAGGCAACTAGGGGGCACAGTAGATAGAGCATGGGGCCTAGAGTCAGGAAAACCTGATTTCAAATCCAGCCTCAAACACTTATTAGCCATGTGACCCCGGGGCAAGTTACTTTACCCTGTTTGCCTCGGTTTCCTCATATGTAAAATGACCTGGAGAAGGAAATGGCAAGCCACTCCAGTATCTTTGCCAAGAAAATCCCAATGGGGTCAAGAAGAGTCAGATACAACTGACACAACTGAACAACAACAATAAACATGAAATAGGCTGCCTCAAAGAACAGTTAAGTTCGGAGAACTTTCTGGAGAAAGGCTAGCAATGGAATTATTTTCCCTAGAGAAGAGGGCTGTGACAACACTGGTCTTCTAGCACATGTATCAATCAGTTTTTCCTCATCTCTGGAGAAAACAGAATAAATTCAGGCAAGTATCCACTTTTTATCATTTATTCCTAGAAACTGTAATTTTCTGTCATCTGTCATTATTTAGAAAGCCTGATCCCCCTATTTTTGACACTAGATGGCAATCCTCTCCCATGGGCATGAAAAATTTTGACTGAAATACTCTTTACTGTTTTACCAAAACCTATCAGAAAGTAAAAAATAATAGGTTATGAGGAGAAAATAGAAATATAGGCCTTTTTTTGGTGGATTATGTTACATAAGCAGATTATCAAAATGCAAAATAGCAAAAGGGGAGGCCATATAAGGAACTTTCTCAGTATAAAGACTTGTTAATCAATGCGTGAGTAGAATCTTCCTCCCTGAAGATCTTTAAACATGGAAGATGCCCTTAGTAGCCTGAGGTCTCACCACCCTGAGAAGGGATGGGCTAGGTAACCTCCACCATTCCCCATACATGGTTTTCTTTTCATCTTGGAATGTCTAGAATGGCCTGCTTTCCAGTTTTCATGTACTTTATATTTAAGAACAAATCCAAAATCAAATTTCCTTTTCTTACAGTCCCAAATCTTACAGACCCTCTTCTAAAAGAGAAAAACTTACCATACCATATAACTCTCGAGAGCTGATTTATACCAACTAAAAGTTGCTATTCAAATCACCATGCATGTTAATGTTAAACCAATCTGAATCTTTTCTACTATACAGTAAGTTCCTTGAGATCCTGAATCTTGTTTGTCAACATCTGAGTAGCCATGGAATGCAGGGCCATGTTAGGTGTTGCAGAGGATAAGTAAAATTAGACTACTTACTCCCTATCTTGAAAGAGTTTATACCCTTCTTAAAGATACAGAATGCATAAGAAAAAGATTAAAGAGTAATGGTAACATACAAACAAGCATTAATTAATATTGTGCAAACTAAGTCCATAAGTGCTAAGGATACACATAACAAAGGAATAATAAGATGTACAAGATTTATCATTACATGGTCTTCATTAAAAATGTTTGTGAGATCACCATGATAATGACAAAAAGTCAAGTGTAAGAACACTATTATAATAGACTGATTATAGACTGGATCATAGATTGACATTTAGCTATTATTCCTGAATATTTTAGATGCTGTTAAATTATTTCCTAGCTATTACGAAAGGTCAAGTAATGTAATATCAATAACTTAACCTCATAGGCAATTTAGCTTTCTTGTGTACTTCAACGCTTTCATAACTCTGTGATCTCAATGGTGTAGGTATTCTCTCCACTGGTACAGATTCCAATTTGTCATGCTTTTCATCCTGTGAAATTTTGGCTCACATCTTTTTGCATATCCTCTAGAGATTATCTACCCAATGTACTGATGGTCTTCCTCTGGTTCTTTTAATGTTTCTTCACTCAGGCCAGTATGCATCTACTCTTTCTTCATGACTCTTCCAATCCAACATGAAAGTCACTGTTGATAACATTCTACACAGTCTGCTTATGCCCACCGTTTTTTGATAGGTAACATCTGTATGGCACTTTAAAGTTTGCAAAGCACTTTAAATACTACCTCATTTGATCCTCACCACAACCCTATGAGGTAAATACTATTATTATTTCTATTTTACAGATAAGGAACTGAAGCTGGAAGGTTAAATGACTTGCCAGAGTCACAAAGCTAGCGTCTGAGGCAAATTTGGGTCTTTCTGACTCCATCCACTACACCACCTAGCTATTTTATAATAAAAACATATTGAAATATCATATCAAGAACTCTTTCTTGTTTTTTTATTTTTTTCCTTGATTAGACTTTTATACTAAACAGGCCAGAACTGAGTGCTGGCTACACAATGACAGAATGTAGCAATGTATTCATGAAGACTGAAGAAACAGAAAGAAAGACACAAAGATGAAAAAGAATGAGAACAAAAAAGGACCAAAATGATAATGACGATAAAAATGGTAACAGAAGAGTAAAAAGTGTAGCATTATTTTTCACACTGATGCTTATTTCACTAACAAAGAACTGTCATTTCCTAGCAGACAAACACTACAACCAGGCCCTATTGTGGAGAGCACCACCATCCCAAAACTGGGATTCAATTCAATTCAACAAATATTTATTTAGTGCCTACTACGTACCAGACTATTGTCCCAAATTTAATACAAACACAAATCTATCCATCAGTATCAGACAGTTTGGCTGTTATTTTATTTGCCTTTTTTAAAAAATCCACTCAAAGTGTAATAACCCTAGTCAATGTGAACTAAATCTTATTCTCTGTTTCAATCCCCCTTTGTCACTAAGCATCCCTAGGCAGTTCTGATGTACATAATCTTCACTCAATTTCTAGTCTTTCATTTTAATCCATTCAAAATTCCTTTGATAAAAGAATAACTGCCAGACCAAAGATACTTTAGTCCCTCTTTAGGGAAATAAAATTGATTTTCTTCATTTTCACACATGGATCCTTATCTAATAGCACTACGTCCAATCATACCCACAATAAAAGACACATAGGCAGAAAGTTTTAATATATCAAATGCTGAAAGGTATAACAGTAGTTCCTGATAAAAGTTCCAAGTAAGGGCCTGCTCTTGCACGCCACCGGATAAACCTAAGTGTACAAGAACCGTGTCACATCTAAGCAATCAATACTCTAGGAGGCTTCCCATGAAGAAACCAGATATAGTGGCTGAGAATGCTTCCAGGAGAGACATCAAAGAAGATACCAGTAGGGTGGCTGTCTTTCTGTACCTCTCCTTGCCCTGCTTTTTTTTTTCCCCACAGAGCACCATCCTTCTCATCTTCTATCTCCTCTGACTTCAAGAAAACAAAAAAACTGGAGAAGATTCTGCCCAGTGCTCTCCTGGGAGTTCTTTGGCAGCAGGGAGCAGCAGGGGCAAGAGAGGCAAGAGAGACATTCATCCACATATATAATATATCTTCTATAATAAGGAAAAAAGTATGCAAGTGAAATAAGTTAAAGTACTCTCAACTCCTAGAAACAAGTAATAGAAAATTTAAGTCAGGACCCAAATTTTTTACCTCTGCAAAAAATCTAACAGGTTTTGCCACCTCCTTTACCTATAACCTTACTACCTCATATGGGTTTTGCAGTATTTCAGGGGCTTAGGGAAATGAATTACACCTAAAGAAACATGAAAGACCAGAACAAAAACTGAGGCAGCATTTGATTTTCCTTTCCCTCTCTTGGAAATTCTTGTGAAGCCATTCTCTGAACATACAGCCGGCCCACGATTTTCATGGAAATGTGCATCCCATTTATTACATACTTATGATTTTATGATATAGCATGGGATTTGGAAAGCTTTTTTGTTACTTGCCATTCAATGTGAAGTATAAAGCCTTCTGAATAATTCTATATTACATCCCAAACCTATAGTTCCATCTCCATGTTCATAATTTTCAACTTGTTCCAAAGAAGTTTTCCTGTTTATGAAGCTTGATAGTTTGTTCTATGAAAAAGTTTTCTTTTTATAATAAGAAGGAAAGATGAAATCTGCCTCTCACAACTAAGTGTGACTGGAAAGTCAATGTTTTATACATGTGTTTTAAGTTTACTTGGATTCAATCAATACATGTAAAATTTCAATCACACAGTTAATCTATGTGAACTAACCTGCAGACCCGGGCAGGAAAATACAGCTTTTGCCAAGAACGACAGAGGTATTTTGAGTGATCAATTACTCTGATCCAATCTAGTTCATCCATGGACACTTCAATGTAGTAGGAATAAGACCTTGGAATGGAGGGGGGAAAAGTATAAAGAAATCACCACATAAATATCAAAGAAAACAATTTATTCACTAACTACATTTTTTTCACACATCACTGAAAGTTCATTTCATGTTATTTGCTTCTTCTGGAAACAGAACTTGGTTTCCTTTATACTACCAAAGGAAATTCTAAATTCTAAATTAGCAGATCAACAGTCATGCAAAAAGGAGGGCACAAGATAAAGAGAGGGATATCTTTTTCTTCTACTTTTCCTTAGTTCTCACCACAGTTTTAGTTTTGATTTTTTTTCCCTATTTCCTCCCACTCTTCCAGATCCCTACCACCCTCCATATCTAACCAAGAGAGAAGTAACTGACATCACTGAGAAAATAATACAAACGCATTTTGAGGACAACCTGAAATTTGCTGACTAATAATCCTCAGTAATGTTTAACAGTCTCCCTCCAAGTAAGCTATCTGGGAGTCTACTGCTCACCTGTAACACACAGAACTGACTGGTACCTCTTCCCTAAGGTAAATTTAAATGTGAGGCAGTGTTATTTCTACTGCAATATCAACTGGGCTGATCTCAGAAAGATTTAACTGACTGTAAATGTCAGCCTGCAGCCAAGAGTCGTGACTAGGAAAGGTCAGCTTATTTTGTGACACAATTCTCTCATTTTCTGTTGTCCCTTCACTCTCATTCATTTTATCACACAGCAACAAACTGGTTGTAACCTTTTCTTGAACCTCTCTGGGTTATCAGCAATTCAGGCTATAATTCTACAACATGTGCTAAGAGGTTTTTTGGCTTTCGATCCTAAATGTTTTACCTTTGGTCAGAATTACAATAGCTCCTGTGACGGGAACTAGATGACTATATAGCAAAGCTAAGTCCCCTCTGAACAAAAAGAGCTTTTCTAAAAAATAAATTTTTTTATAAATATTTTGACAGGCATAAGAACTACAAAGATAATAAGCTCCTTAATCCTCAAGATTCCTAACCCTTTCAGTGCTTCATGTTCACTCAAAAATGTACTACCTGCCCCATTTAATTAATTAACATCCAATTAAATTCAACAAGAAAGGGACCAGGAAACACTTAATATGATCAGAAGACACCAAGAAGGGGACTTGCTGGGGACCTCACATATATAAGCACCAAAGAGCTAGTTTAGGCCTAATTTTATGTAAGCCTACCTCCTGGAATGTAATAGCAGACCATATTCTTCCTCTACCAGTTAGGAGGAAACCCTCATCACTGCTATAACACGCAAGCACCAAATGTCCTGAGCCAAGAAGGCACACTATCTGGCATGAAAACCCTGATGCCACACCCAGCAGTAGTGGCAAAAATGGCACCTGGTGCTTCCTGAAGCTCCAGGTGTGCCCTTCGGCACTGCAGTCTTCCCAAACTGTAAGAGCCAATTTATTCTTGGGTTTTGGGTGATTTTTGTTTTTGGAGGGAGAGCACTGGATTGAGGCCTGGTCTTTCAATTCAGTGCTCTAGTAGTTGGAGTCCCTAACAAATTTCACCTAATTCTTCTATGCATTTGTTTGTCTATCATCTGCTTTGAAAAACTTCCTATTCTGCAAGATAGATGATAAGTAAGTTCCCTTTAAATAATCAGAATAAACTTTTAGGTGAACTAGGCCTTCCAATTCTTTCCTAGGGGTTTCAACAGAAATGTTACTGAGATGTGAAGTTTTAAAATTCTAAAAAGTTGGAAGACATCTAAGCATAACAAAGCATAATTTTAAGCTATTAACAGATTAAGTCATTTTAATAAAAATACAATGTCAATTCCTCTTTGAATCACACTATTATCACTTACCGGCTATCACGATCCCACAGGAGTATTCGTATATGATTGATAATTGATGGCTGACCTAATTTAATCTCGATGCCGGAACGGCAGTCATCATCAATTGGATGCCTAGAAAATCCATGATCCAAATCATAATTTTGTGTATCACCATCAAGTAATGCAGATTTCAGCTCCCCTTTCACTACCTGGGCTCCATACTTCATAGTTGCAATGTTCTCTTCTGGTACTACAGTTGGAAATAGAAAAAGTAACATGAACAGTTGCTCATTAAAAGATTCTCCCACAGCAAACAAGAAATACAAACTAAAAGCTATGAGAAAGGTGGACTTCTTGAGGATGGCTATACAACCGATGTCTAATATCTGAGACACAGATCAAGTTTTACATTTACATTTTTCCAGTTTGTTTCAGTTTTTACAATTAAGTCTAAAGGTCAGGAACATCTACTGTGAAGGAGTAGATGAAGACTTAGAAACATAAATGTATTATTTAATAGTAAGTACTCACTGAATAGCTGGTGTAGTATTAGGGATTATGGTAAAGGGTACACCCCATAAAGAAAGTAAGATCTCCTTTGAGGAAGCATAAACCTACTATACTCAGGCCATTTTATATCACTAGTTGCTATTTAATACCAACTATCACATGTAATACTAATAGGTGACATTTACACGGTTACTTTATGATTATAGTCCTTCTGTCTCTCTAATTACTTCCCTCTCTGGTTCATTATAATCTCCCTAGTTACTTGAAGTAGATTTTCTACATTCCTGATTGGCTTCTTCCCACCCCATCCCACCCCCCATCATCCCCACCTCCCTCTTTAACAATCTTATTCGCTCCAGTCACTTTAACTATCAACTTCCATGTAGATCATTCTTTGTTTTGTGTTCCTTTTTTTTTTTTGTTGTGGTGGTTGTTTTTGTGAGGCAATTGGGATTAAGTGACTTGCCCAAGGTCACACAACTAGTAAGTGTCAAGTGTCTAAGGCTGGATTTGAACTCAGGTCCTCCTGACTCCAAAGTTGGAGCTCTATCCACTGTGCCACCTAGTTGTCCCATGTAGATCATTCTTAAATCTATTATCCCTAACTCTTATATCTCTTCTAGGCTCACTCCCATCTTCAAAACTGGACTTATCTTTCATTTACTTCTCACATCCAGTTACCAACTACTTTAGATTCCAGCTCCACAACATATGACACTTGTCCTCTCCATTCTATTCCTGCTTCCCCCACATTCACTAAAGCCCTCACTATTACTTCTCTAAAACTACTTTAACAATCCCCTAATAGGTTTTGCTTCTCCCTCTCTCTCCTCCCTCTATACTAGGGGTCCTTAATTTTTTTTTTTTTTGTTATCATTGACTGCTTTGGCTATCTCATGAAGCCTATGTGCCCTTTCTCAAAATATTGTGTTTAAATGGCTAAAATAAAACATATAGATTACGAAGGAAACCAATTAAATTGAAATGTAGTTGTCAAAATACTTAAAAAAAAAAAGGTCATGGACCCTGGGCTAAGAAACTCTGTCCAGCATTCCTTCATAAAATTTGTCACTCTACTCAAAAATATTCAGTGGCTTCCTGTTGTCGATTGAGTACACTTCAAACATTACTGGGCATTCAAGGGCCTCCACAATTTATTGACATCCTACTTTTCCAACCTTATGTTATATCACTCCCTTCTATACACACTGCTTCAATCACAAGCTGGACTATTCTCTGATCCTCAAATACAACTCTATGTTCTGCCCTTATTCTATATTTTGATTAACTGGGTACCTAAACTTCATTGTTTGCTCCCTCCATCTCTCTGTCTACTGAATTCCTATTCATCCTTTAAAAACCATATCAAATACCACACCATGCATGAAATCTCCCCAAGTCTTTCTAGATGTCACTTGGCACTTTGTTTTTTGTAACTATTTGTTTTACAATGAATCTAAAGATTAAAAAGTCAAGCCTGTCCATAGAGAAGGAACAGACAGAAGACCTATGAGGACAAAAGTATTAGCTGCATTCATTAATACTAAATACTCAAAAAAATGCCTGAGACAATATTAGGGTTATAGAAAAGGTTATGCCCATAAATATACTTGCCCTTCCTCCCTTTCTAATCTTCTTACACATTATTCCCCTTCTGACAGTCTGCCATGAAGCCATTCTGGCCCAAGCTGACACTGCTCTTGTATGATGCTCCATGTCTGATCTCTGTGACTTTGCACTAGCTACTCATCAGTCCTGGAAGCATTCCCTTCTCATCTCTGCCTCTTGAAATCCCTGGTGTCTCCTCTGAGTTTCAGCTCAAGCACCACTTTCTACATGAAATCTTCTCTTTTCTCCCAAATGCTAGTGAACTTCCTTTCAAATCTACCTTGAATTTCATTTATACTTCTATGTAAGTTACTTATCATTTATATTACATAAATGTATCTACTATATGTGGTAGATATAATATTAAGCTATTTGTAATTTTTAATTTAAGTATATATGATATGTAGATATATTATATATGTACAGGTCATTTCTCCCATTAGAATGTAAGCTTCTTAAGGGCTGGGGCATTTTCATTCTTGTCTTTGTATCTCCACATAAACACATAAGGCCTTACTGATTGACTGTCATGTAATGATGTAGATTATGGTTATCTGTATTTTCTTTTTCTAACAAACTCAGAACCCCCTGAGGATGGGGGTCTTGTCTTATTTAAACTTTTCATTCCCCTCATTCCCCCTCCCCTTCCCCAGGACTCAACTCTCCGTATAACAAGCACAGAAATGTTTGTCAAATGAATGAATGAATTCTCAGTAGATACCAGTGCAATGTGGGTAGTACAAGTACTATTAGCACCATTTCTAGAGATGAAGAGATAAAAATGGAAAGAAGTGAAGAGAACCAAAAAAAACCCAACCAAACAAAAACCAACGGTGAAGTGATTTTGCCTGCACTCACATTTCTTAACTAACCTAGGTCTTCTGATTCCCAACCCAGTAGAGGAGAAATAAAGGTTCCCATATAATCTTGAGTCCTAAATGGTACTGCTAAAATCAATTAATTCATTTAAAAATGAGAAGGGGGCATGCAATTTTTCCTTTGCATGGGTAATTTTAAAAAGATCTGTCATGTTAATCTGTCATGTTAATATCATTGTTATTAATGAATATTTCCTCATTATCTTTATCAAATGACATTTACTAAGTGTCTACCTCATCTTAACACTCCTATAGTCTACGGAGAAAGCAAGTTACAAAAATATGGATGGCTCCTGTCCTCTAAGAGCTCACAACCAAAAACAGATGACTTTAGTAACGAAGAGCATGTAAAAGGATGTAAAAATACATGCAAGACTATATGAACACAGAAAATGACATAAGGCTAAACACTGTGAAAAATCAACAGGGTGTAAACAAACAGAAAGGCCTTTATCTGTATTTCAAATATGTTGCTAATGCAGAGGAGAGTACAAGTTATTTGCCAGGTTTTATGGTGGAAGAAAACGAAGAAATTATCTTCTATTTAAGAGTCAGTGTGGGATTTTCTACAAAGATAACTGCCCAGCTCCCTCACACCTATTATAAGAAAGCCTTGAAGTTTGGATCAGACAGAATAATGCTCAAAAAGCCCAATAAGAACTGCATAAAAAGTCAGAACCATAGGAGAGAGGACCCCTCAAGCAAAGTGAACACAAATGCAATGGAACATGAAGTCTTCAAGGCACTATGTCCAGAAGCGGCAACAGTGTTCCCCTAGGAAGCCCCCAGGGAGGTACAGTGATCTCAAGGAGACAGAGGTCAATGCAAAAACTCAGGACCAAATAAAGTAGGGTTGACTACCTCACACAAAAGTGCAGCATGGGGCAGAGCCTAGCTCTGGTGAAAAGCTGGAGAGATGAGTAAATCAAAGAAAACACAAACCTGCATCAAAAACTATTGTAAACCTAATTCCAAGAAATGGACACTAAAACAAGAAGAGTTCAAACAAAAATCATTAATGACATGAAAAAACAAGCAAAACTAAAACAAAAAAAGATTGAAAAAATATAAGAAAATTTATGTCGAGATGAAAAACTGACCTGGAAAACAAATCAGGAAGAGATCATTTAAGAGTCAATGATTACCATAACAGCCACATTGTGCGATGACTAATATTGATAAATTTAACCCTTCCCAGCAATACAAGGATCTCAGACATCTCCAAAGTCCTCACGATGGAAAATGCTATCCACATCCAAAGAAAGAACTATGGAATTTGAATGCAGACCGAAGCATACTATTTGCTATTTTTTTTCTCTTCTGTTGAGTTTTGTTTCCTCTTTCTGGTGGTTCCTCCTATTGGTTCTAATTCTTACTTACAACATCACTAATGTGAAAATATGTTTAATAGGAATGTATATGTATAGCCTACATCAGATTGTGCGCCATCTTGGGGAGGGTGGTAGTGGAGAAAGGGGGAGAAAAATTTTGAACTCAAAAGCATATGGAAGTGATTGTTGATAAATCAAAATAAATTAATAAAAAAAAGAGTCATTGATGACCTGAAAACTATAATTTTAAAAAGGCTAGTTGATACATTTCAAGAAATCATAAAGTGAAAACTGCCTAGATCTATTAGAACCAAAAAGTAAAAAAACTAAAAAAACAAAAAGAAAAGAATGAAGAATCCACAATTACCTCTGAAAAGGAACTCCACAAACAAAAGTCCCAGAAATTTAATGAAAAAAACCAGAGTTCAGATATCAAATAAAAAATACTCTAAGCACCTATAAATAAGGAGTTCAAGTATCAATAATCCACAATCAGAATAATATAAGATCTGGTAGCACATATCAGAAATGAGAAGAAATCTTGGAATAAAATACTGTACAAGGGAAAAAGGCTTACAACCATGGTACCTTATCCTGTAAATCTGAGTACAATTTGGGGGGAGGGGGGAGGGGAGGACATTTAATGGAATAAGAGGCCTCTCAAGTATTTCTGATGAAAAGTCCAAAACTGGATAGGAACTTCGAAATTCAGAGAACAGAGTTCAGAGAAAGTACATTTATTTGAGCAATCTGAAGGAGATACATGATGAAGCAATGCTAACATTCTAATGGGAGAGAAGAAACAAATGTCTTTTCAGAACTTTAATGTCTTTAAAGAGTACTGAGGAAGTTAAATAAGGAAAAACAGAGGTCCTAATGGCAAATTGGTTCTGTTCTGAGGGTTTGAAGAGGAGAAAGAAAAA